TCTGTACTTTTCTTCCTGCGTGTCTTCTCGCGTCTCCTCGCGTCTCCTTCTCTCTCGTCGTCGTGGCCGATCGATTTTCCCTCGTTCAAGAAACCTTCGATAATTTTTTGGGAATGGGCCTAAGTGAATACTATGGGCTGGTACCGACGAGAAGCAGGATCACCTTTTACGTCGCGCGCGAAGCAACGTAATTATACGACGGAGGGCGAAGCCGAGGACGGCGCGTGTACGCAGCGGGGTATCTTCGCGTGTACTGTCGGGGTTGCTGATAAATTGCCGGGTGTACGTTAGGACTCATTATAATTCACAAGAGGAACCCACTTCCCGGCAATCGCGACGCCGAAATCGATTCCTTGGCGGTTAAACGCGCGATTTATTTCGGTAATGAGATCGCCGACGCGGTGAACGCGTTTCTTTAAGTATGAGATGAATAATAATTCTTCCTTAAAATACTTCCCTGAAATAAGTCGCACGGGAAGAAGATTTTAGTTGAACCAAACGTTTGAACGAATTATAGAATTTCTGTTGAAGTTACCAGAATTCTATGTTCAAGTCAACAACTTCTGATTGACTAAACAAGATTTCTAGTTAACCAAGACGGTACAGTTATTTATAACTGAACCGTCAATTGACAGTTATGCAAGAGTAATACAAACTACATGTGTGTGTGTGTGTATGAGGGACATTTTGAGAAAAATAAAGATAAAAATTCTATACATGATTGAAAAAGTATAGATAGCACTGAAGTTTTTCGCAATCGTTTAAGCATGGTCAATTTTTTCTGTTTACGAGTATCATTGATAACGCTTAAAAAAATAGATAAAAAAGGTGCAACTAGTAGAAAAAAACTGTTTTTTAATTAATTTTAGGCCTATAAAGCTTGAATTTTTTTATTATATGTAAAAAAATTTATAGACTATCCATTCATTTGATAAAAAAAACAACTTTAAAAATCATAATTTTGTGAATTATTCTACCATAACTATGACTAGTTATAAGTATATTCGACATGGAAACACTCGCTGTTTCGGCTCATTCGCTAATAAATATATTTGTTGTCGTGTGAAAAATCGCGACCGATATGTTACCATTGCTACGGTAATTGCAAACATTGCGCGCTCGCGCGGAATTACGGTAATATGCAGGACCGTATGTAACCATGTGGAACTGCGGTAACCACAGTATTTTGCGCGATTGTCGGTGGATAGACGAGGTAACTAGCTCGAAGCATCATCCTGGTTGATATATTCGAAATGCGAGACGCTTCCATACGCATTTGTATGCTCCGGCGAGAACAGTCAGTTACATCTCCGGAAATCTTTCGTGCGTAAATCAGATGGGCGGGATAAAGCAGAGCAAACCGGATCAGATAGGAATCGAAAGGTCAACTAACGTATTGTTGCGATCGCAAGATCGTCGTGTTCCGTTGCAAAAGGCGATAAATGCTTGCTCGACAAATCTCGCCCTTTTAACATCGACACACATCTCTTCTTGTTGAAAAGTAACGAGACGTTAATCCTCGAGATAGAAATCGCGAAATAACTGGAGGCAAATATCACTGGGTCGCATGGCATAGGTCGATACCATTTCTTTCTATCTCTGGAACGTTTTATTGTTGCACGCCGAATTCAAGTACGTGATTTGGGCTCGTGTTAATAGCCATTATTTGAAACTTGTGTCAAACATATGATGATTGATTCGCATATGATTTGTGCGACGTTATATCTGTAATCGCGCGATTCAGTTAAAATCATACTTCTCTTCAACTCTAACTTTAAATCTGAATATCTCACTTGAAACAAAAGTTCAAAGGCACTAATGCCCCAGTGGGACTATCAGTGTTCTATCTCTTTGGCACTAAACATAAAACTTAATCTTTTTGCTCTAAAATTATATTACATATTACATTAAGCTATATTATACTGTTTTAATGAAGTAAAAACAAGAAATTGTATCTTTAAGAAACAAATTTAGTAGCGAAAAGGCTAACACGTGATTGATGAGCTTGACCTAAATAATCTCGAAACTATATTTTATATAGTATATATAACT